CAAATATTAAGTTGAATCAGTTTGCTTGGATGGGTCATAACTTGGGCTGATGATATCCAAATTATGTGATTCAAAATCCTAAACTTATCTACACATTTGGGCCTACAACTTTCATGGACAAACCCAGTCCAAATTTGGATTTTATTAGATAGATAATTGGTTCAAAAATTTCAAAGTGAATTCTGATAGATACATTAAATCTAGTTGTCTTCATTATTTGTATCTAGACTTTTGCTTTTTCTTATTATATAGAAATATTTACTTAGTAATATAAAGATTTGTGACTCTTAGAAGTCTTGAAACTTATCTTGGAGGGTTGTTCCATCTATAAATAAGTAGTATTCTCTTTTGGAAAGGCACATAGGTTGATATATGAATTTAATAATGCAAGGTTTCTTAAGAGAGGTTTTTCTCTTGTTCTGATTTTTGTTTGAATCAAGATTCCTACGAGAAAATTTAATTACTTTATGAGTAGTTTATTCTAAGCTTCCCTTCAAGGGTTGAATTTGAGTTGCGGACTTATTCCAAAGTTCTCTTTCACGAATTGAATTAGGTCAAGGACTTGGTAAATCTAATTTAGCTTTCCAAGGAGTTGCTTCCAAGCGTAAAGATATTGGATCTCGGTTTTAATATACCCCTGGTTTATATCATACAAAGTACTCAGAAGTGTTATATCTCTTGAATAATATACATAAGCTACATTACAATACAAAAGTAAAGTAAAGCACAAACTGGTAACTTGATCTTTAACTTCTCAACTTCTCTTTCGTATCACATACTATTATGCAGGGGAATATTTATTATCTGAAAATGATGAGTAAGATACACTATCCCAGTAAGCAGATATTATGATAACACAAGTAATACATGCAATATATACAACTTTAATACACATCAAAACATATATATCTATTATACTTTTCTAAAAAATATATTCACTTTTATTAAAAACATATGCACAATCGAAAATTGAAATAAGAATCACGATTCTGAAAACACATTGCTGCATTGTACAATGCACTACACTCTCACATATACCAGATCACTCAGCAGGTACAGTGCGCCACATTGTACAACAAGCCACATGTTCTAGAATTAGAAAACAGATGCACTTCATTACACTGTACAATGAGCTTTATTTCATCACCGTTATGGAGGATTCACATCTTCCTATTGCCATGCATGCATAGACGCACACTTAACACTTTCCCATACACCCAAAATTGGAACGATTATGTATGGATTCACAATTATCACTTTTCCACTACATTCAGAAACAGAACGGTTTACCACAATAACGAGTGACGCATACTTCTCAAAATCACTTTTCAAAACACATGGGCCGATGCAATCAAAACATAATAGCACTTCTACAAAACACTGACATTTTATATATGAAAATACATATAAAACACTGGAATACACTTGAAAACTACATAGCCATGTAATCACAATATCCACTTACCTCAAGTGCGATGCAATCAATTTAAGCTTTCTCTATTCTAATAGAGTCTCCCCCTATATTTTTCTCAATTTTCTCTAGTCACTCCGGCAGAGTCTCCCCTTACATATATACTTCAATTTTATATTTTCACTTGAGTAGAGTTTCCACTTATATTTCTTTAAATTTCTTATAAAACAGGCTACTTTAATTTCAACAGAATTCTGACTTAATTTCTAAGTTCTCTCGAAAATTCGGCAGTCTCTGGATGTTTTCGAGTAATTTCTTAAGCTCGCGAGTTCGCCCTTGGTTGACTGTGAGCTTTTGCTCTCAATTTCTCTTTTTTCTTTATTTTTCTCTTTTCCTTCTTCTCTCCTCTCTTTTCCTCTCACAATTTAGGTAGAGTTTCCTCAAAGGAAAACTCCCAAATTCCATCAATTTCCCTCACTTTTATTGGATTTCTTTCCTTTTTGATGCAAGTAAGGCAGGATACAAGAACATGGATCCAATTTAGGTACCTAATGGTCCGATTACAATAGCGAGGTTGAAGAAATTCAAGGACGCATTAAACGGGATGATTCAAGGCTTGTGGAATGACAATGACAAAATTTAAGAATGCAACAAGAAAGCTAGGTCTGAATAATATAAATCAAAGCTTGGTCACATTAACTCAAGTGGAAGTTACACCAGCCCAATATGAAGTTGAACTAGTTTGCTTGGATAGGCTATAACTTGGCCTTCTGATGTCCAAATTAGGTGATTCAAAAGTCTAAGTTTATCTACACATTTGGACTTACAACTTTCATGGAGAAACCTAATCCAAATTCAAATTTTATCATATAGATAATTGGCTCTTAAATTTCAGAACGAATTCTGACTTAAATACATTAAATCTAGTTGTCTTCATTATTTGTATCCAGATTTATGCTTTTTCTTATTAAATAGAAATATTTACTTATTAATATGAAGAGTAATGGCTCTCAAAAGTCTTGAAACTTATTTTGAAGAGTTGTTCCATCTATAAATAGGTAGTATTCTTTTTTGTAAATACACAAGTTGATATATGAATTTACTTAATGTAAGATTTTTTAAGAGAGGTTTTTCTCTTGTTCTTATTTTTGTTTGAATTAAGGTTCCTACGAGTAAAGCTAATTACTTTGTGAGTAGTTTATTCTAAGGTTCTCTTTAAGGGTTGAGTTTGGGTTGTGGATTTATTCTAAAGTTCTCTTTCACAAATTGAATTGGATCAAGAACTTGGTAAATCTGATTTAGCTTTCCAAGGGGTTGCTTTCAAGCGTAAAGACATTGGGTCTCAGGTTTAATATACCCCTGGTTCGTATAACTTTTCCTCTATTTTTTTCCTCTTATTTTTTCTCTCTTCTTTCTCTCTCTAACCTTCCTTTCTCTCAACTCCAGAATGTTTTTCCCTTCTTCCCACACCCTATTTATAGGGGAGGGACATCCATGCAAGTTGATAAGCATGGGAGAGATAGCAAGATGTGATTGGCCACTTAAACCTCCTCAAGCTTCATCCTTATCCTTATCTCTTACTTTCCTTAGGCTTTAAGTAATTCTAGAGTTTTCTAATCTTATCCAGACTCCTCCCACATCTTATACACCTTCTAGGAGCTTCCACATTAAATTTGGGCTCTATTGGATATGTTTTGAGCCGCCATAGACCCACCTAAACCCATAAGCCCAAAAACTGCACTCCATGCACATGCCTTCACTTCAAATAGCCATAAGTCCCTTGATTCTTATGCGTTTCTGGTCCATTTTACCTTTTCTTGCTCGTCCTCATTTTCGCTACTTACTGACCAAATTTAGGCTCAAAACAACCAAATTGTCCCATCTAAGGTCCACATAAGGTCCTAAAGGTCCAAACTGCACTCAAAGTTAGCCCCATGTCCATACCCTTACTTCAAAACTCTATAACTTGCTCAATTCTTAATTTTTATGGGAAAAATTATGCTTGACGTGTTCCTCAAGCAAGCAGCTATCACATGGTTTTCGTTTGGGCTTCATCTGAGTCCATTTTTCCCACTTATGGCCCAAAAAATCCTAAAAGGTCAAAACTGTTCTTCATGTGCATGTCTCTCGGGTTCAGCCTCATTTCTCCTGATTTTTCTTCTACGGACATTTTTATTTTTTTCACGCACTTCTTCATTAATATCTTGCTAGTTCTAAGTCAAATTTGAGTCTCAAATTCTAAATATTTTAGTTTTAAGACATAAGTCAACCTAAAATGGTCAAAAAGAGCTCCTTAGGAGATTTTCTCTCTCACTCAAGAGATTTTCTCCCGATTCATCATCCAATTATTTTCTCACTTTTCCAAAGCATTTTCTTACCTTCTATGAGGTCTTTCTAGCCTTGATAAGCGTTCTCAGGCCTAAAATTCAGTTTTTCTTATGAGGGAAAGAGTCTTCTTAAGGGATTATAGTTATCTAAATCTCATTGTTTTCACTCCGCTTGACTTAAAACTTAGTCTTTAAACTTATTATATCTCTCTTCATACATATAAATGCTCAAATAGCCATACAAAATGTGAGAAATTCATCTAGAGAATCTAGATCATTACATATCACTACTGTTCTCTTTTTTTTTTATTCTTTTTTTCTATTTTGTTTTTCTTTTCTTATTCTCTTCTTTTCTTTTCTTTTTTCCAATGACCTAAACAAAGCATAGGCGAATAACCATGTGCTTGATATTGGTCCATTACCAGGTGTTGAAATAACAAGATTTTCTTTTTCTACTACGAAACATATAGGCAAAATTACTTTCTATATATTTGACTAAATAAAATACGAAACAACAATAAATAAAATTGCATCTTTTTCCTTTTGTCAATGAATTTTTTGTTTGTTTCTTTTTGTTTTTTGTTTCGTTTTTAGACGATATACAATGAGACAAGTAAAACAAGGAGAAAATTTATTCCCTTAACAAAAAGAAACTGGCTTGCTGACAAGAAAAGTTATTTGTTTACCTTGTTTGTCTTTCATATTCATAGATTGTACTGCCATTAGTTTACTTGACTGATTTTCTTTTTCTTTGACACCAACTATATTTTAATGCTCATTGTTAAAGGAATCCTTCCAACTTTGTTGGAATTTTTAATCAACATCAGACATTCGGTAAAGATCATTTAGGTAGATATGACGGCGAAGAAGAATGCTCTTCAGATTATGTTTTTAGCTTATTGAATGCCAAGAAACTACAATGAAAACTTTCCATATTACCTTTGAGCCAAAAATAGTCATCAAGCAATTTCATATCTTTTTCACATGCATTCAACTGAATGGAGAATACAGCAATCAAAGAATTATCCATTCAACATAAAATTAATTTTATAACTAAACAACCTTACGTGAAACTCAATTACTATTATACTATTAAAATTACCATTGAGGCAAACAATGAGGATGCCCATTAAGAAACAACGAAATTATGAATATAACCATTTCGCTACGTCTTATTAGCTGCTGGTGATTGGTTTAAAAATATGAATAATTTATTTCCTTCTAAAGAAAAGGACTTCAAAGACATTCACATCAGCCTGGAATTTATATAGCACACACAAGAAGAGCTTAGCATCAAATTTAGGTGAACAAAAGTAAAGACATCATTTTATAATGTATATAACTACAAAAGAAGCAAATAGAAACCATGCTGTATAAACATACATTCCATCACCAGAAATAAATCTCCCACCCCTACACACCAAGAATATTAGATCCCCAATTGGAGTGATGAGCCAAAAATATGTAATGATCCTCCATCCAACTCGAGATCACTAAAATCAATACAGAATTTTTCCAGTAAAAACATCTGAAGCCTGCTTACTCTCAATGCTCCTAATTGTGCGTCAGTGAGCTCATACCTGCACCATGTGTCAAATGCTTCAGTTACCTCTTTTTCTCTCAATTCTTCTCAACAACATCAAAATAAATGATACATATTATCTGGTAACCACAATGATGCAAGCACTCCTTTTCAAATTTCAAGTACTAATTCTTCCAACAAATGGTACCCCTCGGTGCCTTATACAAGAAAAAGCATTCAATTAATCAATTGGAAATATTATGCTTTCTTTAGCACAGGAAAGTACTTTCCTTTTCTTATTTTATATTTTCATCAATGTTTATAAACAAAACATGGGACCCATTAGTGGAGTGACTCTCGAAGAAAGAACATGCCAACTAGACTTTTATAATAAAATGGCCCTTCAAGAAAACAGAAAAATCGGCAGTCTAAGCAATTAAGAACTCAGAGAACACTGGCGTCCTTTTAATTCTTCTATAAATATGGCTGGTTACTTTCGTACCCAAACAAATTATGCTTAAACAACTATACATGCAAGCAGGTCCATACATACAGATAGGTATTTCATGTGCATGCATATGGATATACATCTCAACGTGTATATAACAAGATCCAACACGTGATTCAAAAAGGTAGAAGTAGAGAAATACAGCTCAACACTTTTTACAAAGTTAAGAGTTGTAAGGGTGATCGTACATTTGTCTACAATAAAGTAACCATAAGCTAAACAAGATGCTTGGAACAGAGACTTGTTTAGCAAATACAGTCTAAACCTCCGGCAATAATATTTCAATAGGAACTCTTCCTGTATTGCTTAAAAACAATGTCAACCTGATGATAATAAATTAAGAATAAAGATAGTGATGATTCCTTTCATCCAAGATGAACCTCTTTAAGGCACAAATCAAATTGCCTCTACTAGCATTAGTTAGACAAGCATAGAATCCATCAACATGGAAATTAGATTCCTACTCAGTCCTAGTACCATTTGCAGAAGCAAAAGTCTAAACATTTGAAACATCATGGACCAATTAACTTGACATAAATATCAGTACTTTCAAAGTTTTCTGCTTTCAAACTTCTTCTGTATACATGCTGTGAGATCTAGAAACATGAGCCAAAATTATAGCTGATTCTTCTTGCATAATGAGCACAGAAAATGAAAATGGGGAATAGGTCAAAAAATTCTGAACATGCATTCATATTGACAACAGACTATTTTTTCAAACAAACACTAATGTACTAAAAAAGCAATATTACTTTTTGTCATGTTAGTAACACTTATGTGCAAGGTACAACCTGAGTTATCAGAAAGTGTACTGCTTTATTTCTTTTGCAAAACCTGGAATATATAAATATGGAAGATAGCATTTTTTATGGAAAAGGAAAGGTGTCTTGGCAATAAAAATAATTATGCAGAATGCGCTCCTTACACAAGCAAGTTGATGAAGTCAAAAATGGAAGAAGACACTTGCCTACTGAGTCTTCTTGTCCTTATTTGAGGACCTCAGAATTTTCTTTAGGAGGCTTTCATCAATTCTCCTGTACTGCATTTGAATAACTCTATGTGTCATGCATAGTTTTTCATCAATGTGATGCTGGTACTTGTGATACAACACGGGAGCAGACAGACTAAGAAGAACCACTGCAAGGAGGACCAAGATAAAGAAGAAAAGGGAAAATAAGGAAAAAGAAAAGTCTGCATGAACACTTAACAGTTTGTCAAAAATTTAGTGAAAGAGAGTAGTTCACTGATTACTCACCAATATAAAGCAGTGTGAGGAAATTGACAAGATTACCAACAAAAGATATCACCCACAAGACAATAGCAACCTGAAGAACCAAGCCACATTTCAAGAAATCTTCCATTAGATTAAAATAGTAAATATAGAATATACATGAAATAATAATCTAGTGATGCAGAAAAGAAAGATTCTAAAGTGGACATTGTTTGTATACTAATATATATTTATAATTGAATGCCTACTTATTACTCCTTTTTCTCAAATACAATAATGCTTATTTATTATTAAGATATTTAGATTATTTAGGAATAAGTATCTAGTATGGAAAAAGTTATTTTTTTCTATTTAATTAAGATGCTATTTAGTTATTTTTCTATTAGTCAATTATTTAGCTTATTTTCCTATTTTCTATATTTCTTACTTTGATTTAGATGTCTACAACATAGGCACCCTGCTTAGTTATTAAGTAAATCATTCATATCTATTATTCCAACATTGAGATACTGTTTTAATTATTGAAATCTAAAATCTCTAAGTTTTATTTTATTTTTTTTACAAAATTTCATAAGTTATGTCTTCAAGTTCTCTTTATCCTGCATAAGTTAGTATCAGAACCTAAATTCGATTCACAAGGTCCCCAAAATACTCAGCAACCTGCTTCCCATATTACAGCCTCTGCCTCTTAAAACATTCTCTCCTTCTTCATATACCCAAAAGGCAGAAGGAAAATTTTAAAAAGAAAAAGAAATTAGTGCAGAACAGAAATCAACATGTTCCCTAACTATCTTTGGAGGTTGATACGAACTAGGGGTATATTAAATCCGAGACCCAATATTTTTATGCTTGGAAGCAACTCTTTGGAAAGCTAAATTAAATTTACCAAGTTCTTGACCCAATTCAATTCATGAAAGAGAACTTTGGAATAAATCTGCAACAAAAATTCAACCCTTGAAGAGAACTTTCGAATAAACTACTCACAAAATAATTAACTTTACTCGTAGGAACCTTGATTCAAACAAGAATCAAAACAAGAGAAAAACATTTCTTAAGAAACCTTACAGTAAGCAAATTCATATATCAACTTCAGTTTACAAAAGAGAATACTATATATTTATAGATGGAATAACCCTCCAAGATAAGTTTTAAGATTTCTAAGAGTTACAACTCTTCATATTATTAAGTAAATATTTCTATTTAATAAGAAAAAGTAAAAGTCTAAATACAATAAATGAAGACACTAAATCCAATGTATTTAAGTCAGAATTCGTTCTGACACTTGTGAGC